AGACGGTAAGATTCATATTTTTCTTCAACTATCTTACTTAGTACTTCTTAATTTGTTATCTAGTGTTTTTACTTTGTTGTCTTGTTGGTCCATCGTGCATAAGGTGCATAATATTAATGATAAATATTTATAAAAGTTAGTGCTCTTCAATAAAACTTGCAACAGATTTTTTTTTTTTATTTATTTTTCATAGCAAGCTATACAAAGTACATTCAGCTACATTTGTTACAGTTATATATTATTTGACTGCGTGAGAAGGATCGCTATCCTGCGATAGCGCCTTCTTAGATGTTATGTTATATTTTATAGTAAATCATTGCAGATTCTTTTTTTGAGACGCTTTGGTGGTAAAGGCTTGAGGAGATATAACGCTAATACGTTTGGATGACGACTTAGACGAGCTTTGTATCTGGTGCAGTAAAGACCAATTTCTTCTTCTATAGTTCGAATTCTGAGATCTTGATGTATCACCCAATTGGAAACGTATTTTGGAGCGTTTACGATTTCTTTCAAAATTTTATTTTGCAACGATTTAACAAATTTAACAAATTTTCCCCCAGCGCTCGAAGCTTTCGCGCTAACCGCAAGGTAGCCCCTAAACCTGTCGTCCGCACGCGTGCGTGGTGGCTTCTTCTTGGCGCGTGCGAGCGAGCCCGGATATGAGAAGGATAACAGTAACACCGTCCCACTAACACACGAAAATAAATTATAAAACATACATCCACATACCTGTGCAGGTAACCGGACATCTGTCGTCTCGAATCATCGGAAAAGCCATCGAAAATCGGAGATTCGTACATCAGTAAGGCGTGGGCAGCCGCGCGGATCAGACCGAATATCTGATGCGATTTTTTGAAAACAAATCATACATTTTGTGAACTAAGAATGGCTATGATTTATGTACTATGTCTTACGTGATTTTGGACAAAATTTTGTGGTATTAATTTTTTTTGTTTCAAATTTCTTGTAAAATTTATTCTAGTTGTTGTGATTTATCATATCTTCTATTACCTTCTTGTGGATAAAAACTATAAGTTTGTGATTTTCATGCATACATGTTTCAATATTTGCATTAAAATCTTTCATCCAAATCTCGTCTCACCGTGTCCAAAATCTTAATAACAATTCCGAGTGTCTCGGCTTTCGCGTTTTGATGTTATTTGATATGACTGAAACATTAAGTGCAGATTAAAATCGCGTTTGTGCCGTTGAGGATAATTTGTGTGTTTTTTTTTAATAAATTTACGCGGTTTATATAAAAGGTATGTAAGTATATATTTTGTAAATTTATTATTTTTATTTATTTAATAACCTCTCATCCTCGATTACTTAGAGTACATAGCCACCTACAACATTTCTGTCTATATTTTATACTATCTTTTATGTATACTTTTTTATTCGATTTTCTTTACCTTTACAACTGATTTATTCATTCTTTTTTTCTCTTAAATCTTATCTTCACTTACTCTAATCTTCCTGTTCTTCTTACTGCTAGTTTTTTTCCAATTTCAACTTCACAATTCAAATTCTATTTTAATTTCACCTCATCAATTTGCATACTATATCAGTGGCAGTACTAGATCTGCGCGGTTATTGACAACTTCTATTTGTAAGTGGTTACTAGTACATAGTTACATTGGCTTGATATGCTGAAATTATAATTTACATTTAAAATTGATATGATTGGTAATTAGCTATATAGAGTTCTATTTAAAATTATATTCTATTTAAAACCATCAGTCTAATATTTTATTAATAAACAAAAATATTTGAAATTTCAATTTATTTTATGCCTATGCAATCTATCTATCTAACAGATTTAAACAGTTTATTAATGTATATTATTGCATGTTGTATATTATAATAATATATTAAAAGTATTCAATATTTAAATTTATTTTGAGGTTCATATTTGATTGATTAATTTGTACTTAATATATTTCTGTTTCTAACAATGCATTTGTTTTTAAAATAAGATTTGCAGATTTATTGGCAGAATCAATTAAATTAAAAAAAAATCTAATAAATTAATAATAGATATTAAATACTTTGTTCAGGAAAAAACATACTTTCTGAACAATTTAGTACTACAACTAAATTCGTTTCAATTTTTAAAGAAAATGCGTAGTTAATAGAAAAAATATTGTAAATTAATCAATGAAATTCGAATTTCAAAATGATAAACATATATTTATACTACAAAATGTGTAAGACGAACCACTTATGGACACAAAACTCCTCTTGTTACGATATTTTGTTTTGACAATACTCAGGTTTGATCGTGTAGCAATGCAAAAAAATATTAAATAAAATTTGAGATTGGTTGAAGGAATTTGAACACTGATAAATCAGAATTCGATTTTATACATATCATATTTATAATAAATGTTATAAAACTATTAACAAAATATATTCTTTATTTTCGATTGATATGAACATGTGGACATAGATATTACAATTTATTTTGTAGCAAATTTTTAGGGTCTTGTTTTAAAGTAATGTTTTTATACATAATGACTGGCAATGGTTTTCTAATTCAGTTTAAAATATATAGAATCCAAACAAATTATCTTTGAAATAGGTACTATATAAGGCATATTTTTCTAAGCATATCTATATTTTTCAATTTTTACGTTCTCATTCAATTCAATCAATATGCACGATAGTTTTAATAAAGTGATATTATTATTTATATTTTTTAATCTTGGAATTATAATTATTTATTCTTATTTATTTTCATTTATTATTAAATTCTATCATTTATTTATACTTCTTGATTGCATACTCACTATTGTTATTATTTTCAACATCTCTATAAATAGAATCGCTTGATTTTTACATAAATATTTTATGTAGCAATAAAACGAAACTATATTAGGCCTTTTTAATATTTTTATCCAATTTGGAATAACAAATGATTATTTCGCATTCATAGAACATCTGTGTAAATATATGAAGCTCAACTCAATTTTATAGGAATTACGAAATTTTTGGAAGTACTGATAAATACAATTTGTAATACATTGAAGATTGTAGAATTATTTGTTTTTGACATTTTTTCATTGTCCAGATCTTTTTCACACTACAATTTCCAACTGTATAAATGAAATGTTTTAATAATTTGTGGACGATATTGGGACATATAATTAATTATGTTGTATTTGTTTTTCAATTATATCAATATCTAATACTTATAATATATTTGTTGTATCAATCACTGAATATTGAGTAATAAAAATTTCAAACAGAACTAAAAATAAAGTACGCATAAAAATATTTACTTAAGATTTCAAAATAATTTGACCGCGTAAATGTATTTTGTATGTATTTTATATCTTTAAAATTTAGCAAATCTTGATGCAATTGGAACCGCAATTTAAAAATTTGATTTTCTTAAAAATGAACATTTATATGTCGAAAATATAAGATTGTAAATGTAATCCCACGACAATAACATGTTGATCATGAAGTAAATGTGAAATAGTAAATTTTTGTAACAAAATTGCAGCAATTATTCTATGATAAACATGTTTTTGTTTATGTTTTATTAAAAATAATTGCATATATAATAATCCTTAAATAGAATGCGTTCTCTTGTTTTTCTTTAATTACAGTAACGACTTTGCCTATTAACTATTTGAAATTTAATTTGACAATAATTAATTTTTATTTTATAGATATATACGTGATAAATGTAAATTTTGTTAAATTATAAACAAAATGTGTACTTGTGCCATATTTTATCAAAATACAGCTATGGTAAGATAATTACGTAGTGATTTTTAGTATAAATCAAAATCTATTAAAAATAAGATGTCCGTTAGAGCACCGCGATATCATCCAATGTGAATTGTAATTAATTTATTTTCAAGTACCAATATAAATAAAAATAAACAATTAAATATTATCACTTTATTTAATATTTGATGTACTATTTCAAAGTACATTACGTTCAAAGACTAAAAGTAAAATCATTTCAATTACTCATCAATTTATATTCAATTACTGCTATTGATATTTAACGTCTTATTTAATTGATTCTTAAAATACTTTTTATTGTAAGTTTATCATATTCATTATTACCATGATAATTTCAATTCAGTTTTTAACATTCTTCTTTTACTGAGTAGTAGTGACTGCTAGTTTTACTTATATTAATTTGAACTTATTATTATATGTGAGATTGCCTTCTAAAAGCCTTTAGTAAAATATATTTTAGAATATATATATTCATATCAAAATATTAATAAAGCGGTAACATCGCTTTTCTTTCGAAACTATAGATGGATTTATATTCCCAAGTAAAAATAGTTCTGCCCAGCATTGCTGGATCATATTAAAAATCATCATTATTGAAGATGATGATTAATGAAACCGCTCTAAGGGCTCAGACAAAACACACTGATCAAAACATATAATTTATATACAAATATTCATACGTATTTATGTGTCTATATTTTTATTATTATAATAATGAATTATTATCTGACCACAGGCAGGTCTATGGTATAGGTGCGCCACAAATGAATATTTTCCCCTCCCTCTGTTGTTTGGTAAACCCATTACCATCATTCACTTTTTATAAATTTTTATGCATTTTTCTCTACAAACTTCAGTTTAAATTCTTCTTAGCCATGTACTTCGGCTTTCAGTTCCTTGAATTTTCTTATGTTTTTTTCTCGCCTACCTTATTCATTTGCGTTTGCGTTTCTTTTTTTTCCAGTCCTATTAGAACTTTTATTTCACTTTTGTCGACGTCGTATAGAAGGCTTATTGCGAGGCCCATTATATGTGGGTCTTATCCAGTTTCTTTACCTTTTCATGATCATGTTCAGTAGACTTCTTTCTTCACATATATGTTGATTTTCATGTATATTTCCATGGATATATATGATCATACGTGGCGTTTTAACATCAAACAGTGTCTTGTCAATTAAGTGAAACAATAAATATTATGTAAGTACATAGTTCACAATAATAATACGTTAATTTCTTTCCAGATCGTAGCGATGCCCCGATCGCTCTCCCTCTCGGTGGGCGCTCAATACCAGCATAACCGCCACGCGATGCTCGGCCACCAGGCAGCTTACAGCCCTCCAAGTCCTGCCTCCAGCCCGTCTCATCAGGCGAGTCCTAGGTTAAGCGCGTTCGCCCCGGTAGCGCCGAACTCGCCGCTATCACCTCCTAGAACTTTGCAGGATCTTGCGGCGGCTTACAAATGGCATAGAAATGGTTAGTGGAAATAAAATAATGATATAAATTGTAAATTGTTTACCAGATTTTACAATTAGATTTCCATTTTATGCTTTAACTTGGATGAAAATCTATTATTTATTAACAATCAGATTCATCGCAATCCTGTCGATAATATGATTAATTCAAACATAGAAAAAGTATATTTTTTCATAATTTCTCTAATGTATGTTTGTCCTGAATAGAATAGCATGTTATATAAGCTTTATCACATAACCTTGGTAAAAATTAACAAACAAACCTAAGACAAAACGAACGTTTGTTATGGTTTAATTATTCTGCAATACGATTCCAAATGAGATTCAACAAAACACGTGTTGACTTATCAATAGCGATCGATTTTAATTTAATTACGAAGAATTGCATAGAGTTATAACAACATCGTCATATTTCATGCAAAATGCGCCTCTATTTACGCAAATCTATTTAACTATAATTAAATTTCAAGCTCGGTTTGTTATTGGTGACGCTTTTCCTATGTTTATCACTACTATTTGTTGATGATCTCTAGAGTGGATGATGCTTTCAACGTCAACGTTAAGTAAATGTAGGACAGACCTATTATATATCATTAAATATGTTGGTTATGATTGAAATATTATTTGTTTATTTTAGCATATTTGTTTTATTTAAATAAAATCACGAGTTTTGATGACAACTTAATTATTGCGCTCTAAAATCGTACTAACTGATGACTTAATGCCCACATATTGATGATTAAGTAATAGTTCTGAGAATTATCTATTTTATGTAAAGTTTAAGAATTGTAATTAATCATAATGTATCAAAATCAAACAATTATCTTTATTTCAACATGTTTCATTTCATTGAATGAGCCGTATGTTTTATAACAAATCTTAATCAATGAAGAGATTTCTGTTGATTTTCTATTTTATTTATTTATTTATTGATTTCTCTATAGGCGGATTAATAGTACAGGTATTGCATAATATATTATTTATTAGCATAAAATATGATGCAATTTACTCATATTTATATTTCTAAAACGTTATACCATGCTTATATTGTCATTTCACTTCGTTCCGTTTTGTCAATGAAATTAAATAATTTATTTACTCTTATTTATTTATTTATTTAATTTTAAGTTAAAATTGCTAAAATTAAAATTATCTTCCCCTCTTTCATTGCCAGATATGAGCAATTCGATTTATGGTGGAGCAGCTGGTCTCACCTCCTTAATTGGCTATCCACCATTTGTATGGTCTCCATTATTCCTGAATTATCCTGCTGCTTTATGCAGAACGGAACCAACATCTCCTGAGCTTAAGTCAAGGGATATTGAAAACAGATACACACCCGAACATGATCCAAGTGGAGGTAAGAATGATATTTTAATAAAAACACTAGCTCTGAATTTACGAATCGTTCATTAATGTTAGTAAGATTAAATTATAATCCTTTTTTAGATGAAGAAGGTCCACTGGATCTCTGCACTCGTGTCTCAAAACAGCCTCAAACCCATCAAAGAAACCAACAGCAACGATCTTCCAATATTTGGTCACCTGCCAGTCTCTGTGAACTGGAAGCAGGACCTGCTGATTCCACTAGGGAAGGCATCCTTTCGATGGCTGCAGATTGGCGCAGGTCACCCAGTACAAAAATTGGAGCAGAAGAGCAAATGGACACGTCGAATTGCTGGGATCAAGATGGGGATAATTCTTTGGGAAGAATTAATAGAGGAACAGATAGGACGTTCGAGGTAAGAATTTTTTTTAATAATTAGATAATAGAGACATAAACACTTATACAAATCTGTATAATACATTTTTACTTATGCAGTCTGTATATGTATACACACATATAAAATTTGGATTTTATAATATTTTTCTTGAAAGTTACAAAATTGACTATTTATAAAAAATATCGGTTCATTAGAGATAAACTAGTATAAATTATATTAAAGTTTACGAAGTTCTCGGTGTTCAATATCAAGAAATCACATTTCCAAAATATAGATCTCACTTTTGAATCATCGTCTATGTGTGCCGGATGTAAAATATTACAACGTTTCCTCTTTAATTGTTCATTTTCGAAGAATTCCAAAATATATTCCGTAGTTGTAAGAAGCGAGACAATTGCAAGATTTACATAACAATTATTTATTTATAGCATGGCAGACTTGAAAACGAAAGTATAATGAGGTAGTTAATCATTTAAAAATACAAAATTTTGCCAAATGTCGATGAAGAAATCATTTTAGTTTTGAAGAAATTTTCGCATATTATTGACATTTTCATTTATTATTCATAAAATCACAATTTAAAAAAAATGAAAATATGAATTTTATCAACAATTTGAAATGATCAATTTGAATAAATGAACAGATTTTCTCTAATTGTTTTAATAATTTTTTGACTTCTAAATGGTTTGGATGAATTTTTTATATTTATACCAAATCTGACAAATTTCAACGTTGGATACTTAATTAATCTGTTTTATTTATTATTAGTAGTCTGTTTATTGATTAACACCTTAAAGCTCATTGGGCTACTATGACGTATAATATAACTATATTAGGGTTATTGATAGAAGTTTTAGTATATAAATTCAATTATTTTTTAATAAAAATATGAAAGTATTAAATCCACTATTGTTCCAATAAAAATCAGAATTTGTGTAATTTATTAACGAGGTGTTGTCACATACAAACTATGGGCGTTAATGAGCCGATTGTTCAGACTAAAAAATCAACCAGGCCGGATGTGTCACGCACGCCTCTTTGTCCGCAAGAGGAAACGCGGACTACTGTTATGAAAACAGATCGTTTACGCGGTCATTTGTCTTTGTTATTATGAAAAATATTAAGATTTCTTACATCCAGGAAAAGGATTGTAGACTTACTCTTAACAATTTTTCTGTTGTCTGCTCACAGGTATGCCTTAGGGCAGTATTACCCATTACATATTATAAGGAAATGAAAAACAAAAAAATCTATTTAATTTTACGTGTCTTTCGTAAGAAATAAAAGTCTAGCCAAGGTCAAAATTATTAAAATTAGTTGGAGTATCATGATTTTTTAAGTTAAGTACATATATGTGCGTCATGTCCATAAACTTCGTAAAACATATTATTATAAATAGTATTATAAAGTCTATGATCATCTCATAAAAAACTCTAAATTATTCATACATATAAGTAAAAATAATAATAAAAAATCATGTTTTCATTATAATGCAACGTTCAAAATTATCAGTTACAATTTTTATTCCATTTCACTTTCATATTGATTGAAATGAGTATATATATGCGTCATATTCATAAACTTTGTGAAACATATTATTATAAATCAGGTCTATGATCATCTCATAAAAAAACCAAAATTATTTGGTCGAACAGAATATTGAATAATTTGTAATGTGAACTGAAAGTTACTCGGGTCCATCGAGGGTTAACTTCCATATTCATCAATATTTATTTATACCTTGCTGTATTTAACAATAATTTCAATTAAAATTGAATTGATAAAAATCTAGTTCAGTTGTTCTATACCTATACCAGAAAGGACATTAAATTTACATTAATGTGCATAATAAAATTGTTTAATGAAAATTAGTATTTACCGATAATTATAATATTTCTGAAAAATTAGTCTAATGAAAATATCCATAATTAATTAATGCAAACGGAATGTCGGATTAATCGCATTAAACGAAAGCGCTAATTAAAGCGCCATTAATAAATTTGTACCGCTAAAAGCGCATGATGCGCCTGATGAGCCTGACATCGCGTGTTCCATAAAAATATAAATGTTAATATTCATGTGTCACATCTGATTCTTGATTATAATCACATCAGATCGAAATTTGCCAGTGCAAGATAATTAAAACGTGTCCAGGAGAAGAGTGGCGAGCTTTTTCGCAAAGAATCGTTTCAGCGAGATATTTTAATTTCTACTGTCACGAGAATCGTCGTACTTTGAAATTAAGCTGAAAAGCCGACGAACAAATTATTTAACATGGTTCTACATATCACCGTTAATTTAACATAATATATATACACACACACGTATATATATAAATATATATATATATATATATATATATATACAGGGTGTCAAGATCTTAACGACATACCAAACCGGGGCGATAGTATTGCTCCGTCCTGAAAAAATTTGAAAAAGTTATCTCACGTTATTTAGAAATTATGAGTTTTTAAGTGCAACTTAGAGCTTTTGAGAAATTATGAAAATTTCCAGGTTATTGCGGTTAAATTTTATTAATCTTATTTATTTAATCTTTGAAATTGTAACCGTAAATAACATTTTTTGGACCACAGTGAAATAACATCACAATTGCCCTAAGAAGTAAGACTTTTTATTCAACAATAAATTGATTTATTTTAAAATCGGTGAACTTTGAGAGGTTCTACTTAAAAAAAGTACTAAAGTATGTTGGCAAGTTCTTTTATAAGTTTAATAATATTCTTGTTCGTGTAAAATTTGTTAAATTAATTTGTATTACTTATTTCTGCTTCAAAGCGAATGAAAATATTTTCATATAACACATTAATTATTATTTCAAGAAAATCAATTTATCGTTTCCATAATATCAACGAGCTGACTTTTATTCAACATATCACTTCAATTTTGATAGGTAACTATTCACTGATCGATAAAAATTATTATTAGTAATGGAAAACTAATTCATGAAGCACTATACATCAGTTTAGTGCCTAGTGCGTTTTTTGCTTGAAAATATTAGTGATCAATTTATGTGTCTTCCGAATTTCATGCCACATTTTTCTCAAACCCTATCCCTATATCTTTATTATTTTCTAGAAATTTCTCCTACTTACATAACAAGGGTAACCACTTTATGTTTGTCCTTTAATTGTTTTTTAATTGCGTGGAGCACGCTCTCCAAACTGCCCCAAAGGCATTGGCGTACGTATATAAAATGTTCAACATTAACGAAAGTTAAATAAAAATTTATAGCAGGCCTATTTATTTGCTGTACAGGTTTAATATCATTTTAATGATCCTTCATTTTTGTTTTACATGACGAGAAATCGAAAGTACATTATCGTGAAGGCAATGCAGAAATTTACATTATTTTAAAATTACAAATGTAAATTTATTTATTTATTATGCAATTTTTTTATTAATTAGATAGAATCTAATATATAATTATATTAATTTTCTATTTATAAATGTATCAAGAATTTAAAAAAAGTTGATTTAGTATTTCAGTCATTTAAAATCATCAAAGTCGATACCTTATGTTGTTACAAAATACCTGTTAATTGCAAATAAAGTGAGAACTCACCGAATTTGAGCAAAGATCATATTCCTTTTCCCGCTATATAATTTGAAGCAGTTTACAAATTTGAAAGCTCATTACTGACTGTTAAAATAAAATTGCTCAATCCAAAACAGAACTGCATTATTTATCAATATTGGCTTCTTATAGAAATCGTATTCAGCGTATAACCGTTTAATAAGAATATCTCCGACAATAAATTGTCATGTGACATTTCGGATATTAAATTAGCACTATACACACTTTTATCAAAATACTGTCGCCTCGGGCTTCGATAACACGAAATGCACCAAACAAGTTGTCAACAAGATATTTTAAGCGCTTCTTGCTCAGAATTAATAGCTTTTTGAAAATAATAGGAATTGGGCCCAATAAGCCTTGAAAATCACTTAAAAAGTATGACTTATTGATCGAAAATAAGTGTTTATTTAAAAGATACAAAATATTGATATTAACATTGATTCCTTTTCTGGTTAATCAATCTTAACATCAATAATATTGTTTAAGATATTGTAATCAGTGAGTCGATGAGGGTGATTCTCATTACATTCGGGAGCAGCATTAATAATAAAATTGTTACAGTTGCGTGCTTTTTGTTAAAAATCAAGATTTTGTTTTTGGAAGTCATTTGATATCTTCAAGAATTTCAGAAAAAAGAATTTCAAATGCTTTTTCATTTCCGTATCACTATTCAAACTGTTGAGAAAGTATTAAGATTTTAAAATAGTATCCAATGAACACATAGTGGACAAAGTGGTCTTATGTTTTATTTTTTACTTTAAAAGGATTTTACTAAATAATAGTTCCATTCAGGTATCATAAACTAAATAAAAGAACTCAAAGCAAAAAAACTACCAACAAAATTACCCGATAGCGACGTCGTAAGAATTAAGGTGATGGCGGGTTACACTTACTTTGCCATCTGCTTCAGAATAGTATCGTAAAAAATCTACGGTTTACTAGTTTGAGAGATAATAATGGACGATACAGTATGTTTGCAAGATTTGAAACCCCTGAAATGCCATTGAAAATTATTAATCCTCGAATTTTGGTAGCAAAACTGATAAGAATAAAAATAATATTAAGACTGGTTTTATAATGTACGTTAGTTAATAGTTTATAAAAGTTAATATTTTGTTTCTGGGGTTCGAAACCCTCGAAACGCCACTGAAAATGATTATTCCTCGTCGAGCTTTCGGGAGTAGAGTTAATAAAAATGAAAATGAAACTAAATAATGAGAGGGGCAAATTTTGTTAAGAGAGAAGAAGACTTCGTTCCGTATTCCACCTCGGCACGCTTCCTTAATGAACGCTTGTCGCGTGTAATCGATGTCCAGCAATATGTTGTTTCGCGTGCGAACGGCTTATTTTGATTAAGTTTTTGTAATGCCCAGATACGATATTGTTTCGTTACTCTTTTATGATAATAAGAACTAAGAAA